AATAAGCCAACCAGTTTAATCATACTGCATTCCTAAATAGCCACAGCATTTCAGCAGCAGCACTGACAAGCTCACCAACACGTATTTTGATCTTCTGGATGTCTGTCTGTGACTCGTTTTCCTTTTCAGGAACATTTGGATGGACTGGAGCAATGCACCATGAAGAAGGAACTGGAGATTGGGTCTCAGATCTAAGGTGATGGGCTTCCTCGCAAGAGCGAGGACTCAGTGAATACCAAACCAATGTCACTTCCAGCTGTCAGAGGGAGGAAGACGTATGCTCTAATCAAATTATGTATGAAATAAATTCTAGTGTCACTGTTCTAATTCCATTAGGGCGCTCTTTAACGCAGCCCAGATTTTGACTTTGATTCACCAGAGGCATGTGCTTCATTAATTTCCATAGGTCTACTCCTATGTTTGATATTAACTGCAAGCTTTAAATAGATTACTGAATCAGGTCCATTTTGGGATATCCAATGCATCTCAGGTTAAAGGTGTGCCACAACAGACTGCAGGTCTGCTGGAACATACCCAACATAGGAATGGACTCTGGAGGGTGGATTACATACGAATAAATAAATGGATTTATCCATTTATATGGATATATCCATTTATATGGATATATAAATATATATATAGATATATTTATATGGATATATTTATATGAATATATCCATTTATATGGATAAATATATGGCAAGAGGTAGCCATAAAAATGTGGGGTAAAACCCCTAAATCAAGCCCCCAAAAAAAGAAAGTTGACTGTGCTCTCAAGTATCGTATTAGCTCAGATGAGAGTTTACATTCACATTATCTACTAACCGGTGGCATTTATTAGGAAATTACAATGCAACAGTGGACAGAAAACAGGAAAGTGCTCGTTCCTTTTTGGAATAGGATATTTCTTTTTTTGTTGCTGCTGTTTTTGTTGCTGTAAATGATTTATATGTTTATTTTTACAAAGCAAACCCAGTTAGTGAAAATTATTTTCTGCTCCCTTGCTACTATACCAGCAAAATGAAATCCAAGTTCCTGCATGATGTGACATGTAAACCATTTGTGCTGAAGTGTCTGGCAGGAATGGATAGAAAGATTTTATCCTGAAGAAATACTCAAATAAAATGCTAGTGTAATCTAAAATTATTCACTGATGGCAACTGCAGGATTATTTTGTGTCTTTTTAATCATCAATTTAGCTGAGGCTAGTATTCAACAATGTAAAGCATCAGCAAAGAAAATGGTGTTTTCCCTTCAGACCATATGAAAACAAGTGATTTTTTTTAACGAAGGAAGACATAAAACATGTTTGCTTGCATTTCATGGGAAAAAAACCATCAGCAGCACTGCCATCTAAGGTAAAGCACACATGTTTTCAAAGAAAGTATTATGAGTGTGTGACAAACACTTAACAGTTTCACTCAGATCCTGATGCAGGTCAGGTTTAAAAGCTGGGCAGCCTCAGCTCCACCTAGACGCTGTGATCGCAACTGCGTGCATGTATCTCATTTAGCACTTTCTTGTGCCATGATTCAGCTCCATTTCCTTTCTTTAAGGCAGTTAGAAGGTAGCAAAAATTGATTTTTCTATTGCTTTTTCTTTCTATTGCTCTTGCTTTTTCACAATCAAACTTCAGATTTTCCAGGCAGCCACTTGCTCCTTTACTCACAGAAAGTTAGAACTGAGTGCCCATTTTTCTGCATCAGGAAGAAATGTGACAGTTCATTAGCTTTTGCTCTCAAACTCTAAAATTACAGTCGCATCAATCCACCTCCTCTGTCCTATGGAGCTGCTCTGTTATCACAAAGCCTATTCAAAATTTCCCCAAGGGCCAAGACCAACACTTGAAAAAGAGCCTAACTTTGTACAAAACCAAAAGCGTGCCCCATTACCCAGCATCTGAGACACCCCTGCCTGACCTCCTTCTTTCTAGTGCTGTTATTTCAGACCTGTATCAGTTCTCAGTCTCACCATGGCTGGGAGTAGCGATCTCCACCCTGCCCCCCCCAAGCCCACGTAACATTAGTTTGACTCTTTCATTCATTCACTGACAGAAATATCAAGAGGTTTCTTTAAATGACAGCAATATTCCGGGATGATTGATCTGCCAGAAGGATTCTTTAGCACTGTGGAAATAAATGGCTATCAGAGAGAGACTGCTTTGAAGTTACCATTTGCAGTGCCCGGAGAACTTGGGTTGAATCAGTTTTTACTGCATTATTTTCATGGCAAGCTCTTTTTGTCCCATCTGAAGGGTTTCTTTGTGAGCAGTGAATGAGGGTGCATCTTGGGAATGATCTGATACTTCAAAAGATGATTCTTGTAGTTTATCTTGCAGTAAGCTTCTCTTCTGAAGGAAATGCTGCAGAGCCCTTGTACTGATCACAATGATAGCGCGTGCAATGTGCCTTTTATCACTGGACTGTCTGCACTATCGCTTTTCAGTGTAACTCAGAAGCAAATCCTTGCAAGCTAGGACTTTTATTAATTGATACATATGGAGATATATGCTGTCTTTTATAATGAAACATTTTTTTCTGCATACACTTCAACTGCTCCTGCTGAAGTCAATGAAAGCTTGCACACTGCCTGGCAAAGAACTGCAGTTTAGACTATTTTGGGGACAGCAAAATTGAGAATATGTTTAAGAAACTGAAGTTTGGGGTTTTTTTAAGTTTGATATCCTGTATTGAGTTTAATGGAGGGGAGAAAGAAGAAAAAATTGCACACCAAAGCAGCTAGCCAAAGGTAAAAGTTACATTCAGAAAAAGAAAACTGGTGCCCTGTGTCAGCTAAAACACATTTATACATTTAGTAAAAGTTTCTAACCAGCACTCAGCCTGTAGGAGCAGTGAAGACTGACATTTAAAACCACACCATGTTATCACATTGTAAGCAACACTTGCCTATAGGTTTCAGTGTTCTGAGAAAAAAGTTGATTTTGGAGGTGTTAAAGACTAAGTGCTTTAAAACCAATAGATTTTTAACTCAAAAAAAGCCATGGTCATAGCTTCTTTTTTTTTTTTTAAATAAAATAATGACAAACTAAGCTCTAGGTGTGTGAAAGCCATTATTCATGCCTATGCCCATATAATTTATTTGTCATTGCTCATAGAATAATTCAATTATTTTAATACTCTTTAGCATAGCTGAAATGACAGTTGCCTGCTTGTATGAACATGGTCCAAACTTGCATGTGGACAATCCCTTAGTCTGAACAACTTGCTCACAGCAGCATCAAGGGTACTAACTAGTAGGTTTTGAAGCATGATTTCTATCATGCAAGTATTAGATCCTTGAGCAATTGCACAGCAATTCTGGCAATGTTCCCTTACAAGCAGGTTTTGGTATGTTTTTGCCGCAGCAGATGTACTCTATTTCTGGGTCTTTTGACCTTCCTTCCTATGCAGGCTACATGATCCGGGACAAACTCCTTCTCAGTTCTTAGATATTCTTTCATTTTATGCAGAACTTCTGAAAAAGTGTCCCACTGGAAAATATACAACACTGCAGATTTAGCTTAAAGAATTTTATGGATCAGGAGAAACACTCACTGAAGCTGTTACAGAGTGCAGCAATTCAGGAACAACTTTTCTCTCACTTTCTTCAAAGCTCTGTTTTGAGTTACAAAATGATCAATCCTGACTGACCTCAGCAAAAAAAACCTTTCAGCTTTGAATCAGGCTACATCCTACAGGCAATGAAAAAAACAGCCCCAAAACACAAGTCTGCGTATGTTTTATGTGACAACGATACGTTCCTGTGTTTAGCAAGATTATGATTATCATTTGCTGTTGCTTCCTGCTTTCATTCACATTGAAGACAGAACCCAGGCTGTCACAGTTATGTCACACAATGATGGGAAGACTCTTACAGTAACTAATAATAATAATGGAAGGCCAGGTTGGACAGAGCCAAGGTCTAGGGTGAGGTGGTCCTGCTCATGGTGGGGGGGTTGGAACTAGATCATCTTAAGGTCCTTTCCAACCCAAACCATTCTATGATTTTATACTGTAAGCCAGCCTGGTTTCTAAGAGACAATGTAAAACACAAAGTGGGCTCCTTTCAGTTTCTTTTCCCAGCAGTTCTCCCTTTTCTGTCTTTACCGTAAGTGATACTGCAACAGTAGTTATGATACTCAAAATAGGAAATGGAAATGAAAAAGTTCTTGAGAGATCAAAATCAAATGACGCCTAACACACATGCAGCACAGCTACTCTTCAGTACACGTCAGAGATGCTGTGGCAAGCAAACAGCAGCTGATTCTGGGGGCAAGGCCAGCAAGTGTGGAAACGGTGGCAAAAAGCGAGAAGCTGGAAGGGCTTCCGCACCAGCATTAAGGCAGGAGAGGGCCAGACCTTCTGGGAGTCAGCTCATATACAAGCCAAGGACAACCAGGAGAACTGCTGGGAGAGGGGCAACAGTGGCAGGGGGTCTAGTGATACTGGAGGTACTCTTTAACAACTGCCTTGGGAAACAGCTGCCTCCAGTACAGCACTAGTTGAAATCATCCAGTAACATATGGGAGCAAGCATCAAACCTATAGTCATAGAGGTGGAAAATCATAGGCATGACAGTGTGGCATTTTCATGTATATCTGTACATTTTTTCAGGCATGATACTCGGGGATCAGCAAGACTTTTATCTTAAAATAAATGGATACTTCAGAAACATTCACACTACCTGTTTGGTTTAATATGTGAAAGATGTCAGTATCAGAACCTAGACTCACGGCATTTCTGAAAACTAGCACATCCCTATCCTTCAGTAATTAGTCATGATTTAATTTAGAACCAGTAACTGGTAATTGATTACTTGTACAAAGTAATCACCAGAACTTCAATGCTCTCTGGAAAACAACTGTGTTTAGAGACACAAGTAACTTCAGTTGCAGAGGTAATTTTAGAAGCAGCATTATAATATGGGATAAAAAGCAGGGAACACAAAGAGTAAAGCACACTGGTGCATTAAACAAAAAATAAAAGCCTCAAGAGACTTACCACTGATGTTAGAGCCATCTGAAAACTGTAGATTCGTGCAAGGCCAAAGTCAGCTAACTTTATCTGACCGCTGCTGGTTACAAGGATATTTTGGGGTTTCAGGTCCCGATGCACCACACGATGTGAATGCAGAAAATCCAGCCCCCGAAACAGCTGAAGCATCATATCCTAAATATAAAGAAGAATTCAATATGTAATTATCAAGACAAGGTTTCAAAGTAGCAAACTACCTGTCATAATCCGCAAAACTAATTTAATAAATATTGACTTAAATATGTGCATAGGAGATAAAAACAGTTATTAATATAAAATGGTCAGGATGTTGCTAGAACCAGCTGACATCAACAGATGTCCTTATCAAGTTAATGTAATGTTTCTAGTTGAATTACTTGAGGTTGATTGATAGAAGCATAAAGGCTGGTCAACATACTTAAAAGAAATAGAAAAGCATGTCTGTAAATCCTGGGACAACTTCAGAAGTATGCTGTCCAAGTAAGAAAAATACACAGCAGCTTTTTGCTCTTAACTTTAAACCACACACCACTTTGCATCTCACAAGTTTATGTTTTATTCTGCCAGAGCTAAGTGAATTTTTATTATTCACTTCACAGGCACAAGATACATTTCAATTAGAAAAGCTGTTTAAATGACAAATTTGTCAGGGCTTAATGCTACAGAGGGGAAAAGTTTACTTGGCAAAACTTGTATAGAAGGTACTGAATAGGACAGAAAGTACCTAAGATCAAAGTTTAGCACTAAATCATTGTAATAATAACAGTTATTAAGTAACAGTTCTCTTTTTTTTTTTTCTGTTTTGTTATACCGGTGCAATCTTCTATGACATTTCCACAGCTGAAGAAATTATTTCACCTGTACACATGTGTTCACATTAATCTCAGTAACATGAAAAGAATTAACCAACAGAATCAAAACTAAATACTAGAAATCCCCCTGAATTCCAAACTAGAAGGATACTGTCAACTTGAAAATTATATTTGCAAAACATGCAGTTACATGAAGATGCTGCAGCAAGTAAGAAACAAAAGGGATAAAGAAAAAGGTTATTTACTGTATGCACTTGAATTGAGTTCATGAAACTCCAGCTCTGGGTTTGCCAGTGACATATGCCCTTTCTGCAAGCCATGCAGCAGGGTTTCTGCCAATCCTGTAATTAGCAACCAAAATGATTTTGGAGAGGTGGATGGCATGAAACATGAGAAAGGGGAAGATGGATAAATTGAAGTTGGTGGCTTTTGTTCTTCTCTACAGATTTGGACATGTTTCAATAAAATGTCAAAGCACACTATTAAAAGGAATGATATCTGAAAATGGGTTTAAAAGTACCTCAAAATATTCAACTTGATAATATTGCTTTAGCTGGATGCACTTCACAGACATCACTATATAATTTAACACAAAATTAGTGCTTTCATGTATATGTTTCCTGATATCTCTATCAAAAGTATTTTAAAATGCATAGCTCTAATCTGATTTTTAATAAAACATGGCGCATGAAAAACAAAGGCACAATGAAAAACAATTTAGGCACATGAAAAACAAGGAGGTGGTTGGTGACAGCCAGCATGGCTTCACTAAGGGGAAATCCTGCCTGACCAATTTGGTGGCCTTCTATGATAGGGCTACGGAACTGATGGACGGGGTAGAGTAGCTGACGTCATCTACCTGGACTTGTGAAAAGCGCTCGACACTGTCCCACACGACATCCTTGTCTCTAAATTGGAGAGACATCAATTTGATGGATGGACCACTCGGTGGATAAAGAACTGGCTGGACGGCTGCATGCAAAGAGTTATGGTAAATGGCTCAATGTCCAGCTGTAGACCAGTAATGAGGGGTGTCTCTCAGGGATCGGTGTTGGGACCAGTCTTGTTCAACATCTTTGTCAGTGACATGGACAGTGGGATTGAGTGCGCCCTCAGCAAGTCTTCCAATGACACGAAGCTGTGTGATTCAGCTGATACACTAGAGGGAAGGAAAGCCATCCAGAGGGACCATGACATGCTTGAGAGGTGGCCAATGACAACCTCACAAAGTTTAATTAAGCCAAGCGCAAGGTCCTACACCTGGGTCGGGGCAATCCCAAGAACAGCTACATCTTGGGCAGAGAAGAGATTCAGAGGAGCCCTGGGGAGAAGGACTTGGGGGTATTGGTCGATGAGAAAATGAACAGGAGCCAGCTTCAGTGTGTGCTTGCAGCCCTGAAAGCCAACCGTATCCTGGGCTGCATCAAAAGGAGTGTGACCAGCAGGTCGAAGGAGGTGATCCTGCCCCTCTACTCTACTCACGTAAGACCTCACCTGGAGTATTGTGTGCAGTTCTGGTGTCCTCAACATAAAAAGGACATGGAACTGTTGGAACAAGTCCAGAGGAGGACCACGAGGATGATCAGGGGACTGGAGCACCTCCCATATGAAGATCGGCTGAGAAAGTTGGGGCTGTTCAGCCTGGAGAAGAGAAGGCTGCGTGGAGACCTCATAGCAGCCTTCTAGTATCTGAAGCTGTGAATGCTCCATTCCTGGCACTGTTCAAGGCCAGGCTGCACAGAGCCTTGGGTAATATGATCTAGAGTTAGGCACTCCTGCCCATGGTAGGGAACTAGATGAACTTAAGGTCCTTTCCAACCCAAACCATTTTATGATTCTATGGCCATTTCTGTATATAGCTCTGCTGAAAGGTAGTAACAGTGGGCTGCTCATAAAGTAGTCAGTGTTTATTTGAAGACTCTGATAATGGAGGTATTAACCATGGAACTATGGAAGCTGTGACAGTGTTTAATTATTATCACGTCTGAAGGATGGTGTTAAACTGAGAACGTCACTCCTTGGAGATGATGTCTTTTATTCCCTTTGTTTCCCCAGCAAAAATTGAGATCTGGTAATTTGCTAACTAGCTTATTAGGGTTTACACCTTTAAAACAAATATACAAAGTGTATTGAATCCTCCTATATTTATATAATCTCCCTTTGCATTTCAGAAATATGTGGAAGAGCTAGGACTACAGCTCTGCAGGTTTCAGTCATCAGTGGAGTGGAGTTAATACATGTCATAAATGCTCACTCTGTGCTATTATAACTTAAATGAAACCCCAACTGCTTTTGGATCAGTCTTTCACATGCAAAGAACATGTCAAGCACATTTAAGTACTCGGTTATCTCAAGTTAATTGTTTCACTGAATTTGGGCCTAATTTTTTTTTATTTCAAGTAGGCATAACACCAGATTAAATAAGAAAATGATTTAAAGAACTTAAGGATTAGTCAGTAGGCCCTGGCGAGTCCCTTTTGGGTGATACTTCTGCATCCGACTCATTTGCCAAGTATGTAAACTCATTCCTGCAGTTACCAAACGTATCAAGAATGTTTTTTTCCCCACAACTGATGCTGATTTTGTTTCAACTTTCTTCCTCAAGCTCAGCAAATGCAATCCTGCTCTGCTAGCTGCAAGTTGCAAGCAATGTCTTCAGTTTCTAAATTCAGAGCCTTCTTCCGGGCACAGGTAAAAACTGAAAATATTTGAAAATGGAAACGGGAGTATCTTTCCCTCCTGACATAGGAATCAAGAGATGAATATAATTTACAAAAGTTGCCTTCACACACAAAAAATGAGATGTGCCATAGAAAAGTGTACCAGAAAAGTATAAATTTAAGAGTTATTAGGAAGAAGCAAAACTAGGAAAAGAAGCGCTAAATTTCCTCTTCCAGGAAATCCAAAGTTATTCCATACAGGTTATTCTCTAGTATTCATTTTGGGCTATTGATTATGCTCTTTTGCTATCTCTTATTGCTTAATACTGCACATACAAAAATACCTTAGCCCAAAGACTCATGTGTGTACAGAAGGGCATTTTGATATAAAAAGACCATTTGCTATTTGTGATTCTTTATTGTCTTGTTTTGAAATTCTCAGCCAGTTATGTAAAAGGGCAGAAACCAAAATCACATGATACAGGCTTATTATTATGCACTTTAAATACAAAATACCAAATTGTGCAGCTCAGAATCTGATTCTGCTTGCACATTATCAAAGCAAACAAAAGAGAGAGCTTTTAAATCACTCTTATCCATAATGAATCATTAATTTTGTGCTGTACATAAGCCTAGTCAAAACCTATTAGGCCTCACATTTGGAACATCACTTCATATTCTTGGTCAGGCACTTGCAAGAAGCATCAGACTCAGTCTGGGCTGTGTTTTCTTTGACACCATAACTAATATCAGAAGATACTAACCTTTTCTAGCAAATTGGATAAAGGCCATAAATATGCACAAGCCAGATCACTAGCTAATTAAATTTGGATAATTCTATTCATCTAACAGAAAAGCATCCATTTATATCACTGATGATTGCCCAGGACTATCTCAATTACCAAGATCTAGAAATAACTGCAAGACAGACTTCATGTTTATCAAGAATTAGTTTATACCATGTCTACTTTTCGCTGAGAAATTTTCTTTGGAAAATTTTTCTTTCCATAAATTGGAATTACAATTAAAATCATATTACAAAAATTAATTGAAAAATGATCAGTTCTATTAGACAAACAGGAAGATTCATGTCTTAGCAGATTTCAGGAACAAGCTCCAACGAGTCATGATCAATCCTCTACTGACGTCTATCAGATTTCTTTGGATATTTGACGTTTACAAACATAGACACAGAATAGCATCTGTTGTTGCTGATTACAGATTTCTGCCCCACTTCTAATATCACAAAACCCATGACGGTTCTTGCCTGAGTTGAAGTTATATACATTATTACACTGTGATTATTTTCAGATAAACGTGGCTTCACAATGTTTTCCCTTTTCAGGCTAGGTTTTCAATGTGGTCTATGCACGAATCTCAAATATTTACCTATAACTCAGTTGAAAACTGAGCTATTTTGGGATACAGTGAACAAATACACTTTCCTTAGAAGCAAATATGTAGCTTTAATTTTGTAAAACCCTTATAATGGAAACAGGAGCAACATTTGTTATGTGAATGCTGCATCTTTTGCATGTTCCACCATATATGGTATCAACGATGGCGTTGCTCAAGTCTGATATTCACTTAATTTATCAGCACTGAATGTCAGGACCACATTACAATGAACTTTTCAAGCAACACCATATTATGTCATGAGTGTCACGACATAAGAAGTAAGTCC